ATCCTAATGGCAGGGGTGCTCAAACTACGGATCTTGGGCTTTCATCCTCCGAACCACAGACCTTCCCCGAGTCTCTCTATATCTTATTCTATTACCCACTATTCCTGCCTCTCTACTTGCATTCCCGTACGGCAATGACCTGATAACAGGGAAGCATTTATGGGGATAGAGATTGTCAGGCTCTTGATTTAGTATTTTACAACCTGACCGCCAGGCCTCCACGAAGTACGTCGGTGGACCTTTCCACATCTAAGTTGTGCACCCCTGCCTCAAGAGTCCGTGTGAATCCTCGAAGCACGATGTGCATCCGTGAGTTTGGGCCTATGCCATTCTCATTTCGTCGTGGAGCGACCCCCTTCGTACTAGGCCTATAAGAGGAACGGATGGAATGCCTTGTCTCAGGGCCGTTTCTAGGGGCGGGCGAAGCGGGCGATCGCCCGGGGCGCAAGCGGGGTAAAGGGGGAGGGAGGGGGGCGCCAGCGGGGTAAAGGGGGGGGGGGGGGGGGCGCCGTTGGAACTTCTTGCCCTGGGAGCCACAAAACGCCTAGAAACGGCCCTGCCTTGTCTTCTCGAAAGCGAAGAAGCGCCATGGGGACGCGTCTCTCATCTCGCTGTCGTCCGTTGTCTAGGCGTAATGTCGGGCCAAACATGGGTCCAAAATGTTCTAATGATCGAATATGCACGTTGTGTCTTTCTTCATTTCTGCAGCTTTCGTCGTATGGGGCTCGTTATACGTGAATTGTTGCTTTATTATTCTTCGGACAAGCTCTCAACCTTCAACTGGGCTCAATACCCTTACGACAGTAACCACTAATAGAAGAGTGGAATCCGTTCATTGGGGTGGGGGCGGGGGTCGGCGGGAAGGGGAGGGTGGGCGATGTATGGGAAGAAATTTCCGCGTCAAGCGAGGATTTGTCTCTGGCCATAATTTGACCGGTTCGTCCAGTCCTTTGATCGCAGGCGAATCCAGTGTCAGTCCAGTCGAATCTACTAGTCAAATCTAGTCAACCTTACCGTTGACTGCATTCGACACGATTCAGCCAGATCGGCCTTGATCAGATCAAAGTATTCGCGGTAGATATTTTTGAGCCTGTCCTATCTGTATCTGAGCCTGTATCTCTTGCAGATCTCCTATGTCCAGGAAGAGTCTTGAGTTCCAAGTGGAATGCATGGGCGCGTCTTTTTCTCCAGCCGCTAGTAGCTGCTGGCGAAAAAGACGCGCTGGCTAGACACGACCACGTCATTGAATGACGTCACTATTGGGCAAACAGCTGCCAGTGGAACGTAGTGAACTAAGAGAATGCTGAGGAGCTAAGTATTAAAATGACGTCATCGGATGCTGGAGGTCTCAGCAGAGCTCGCAGAGCCGCTAGAAAAAAAGACACCCGGATCCTGACAAGCCTCAACATATACGGAGCGTGAGGCCCTCGAATGAAAATCGTAGGTTCCCTGGTTCCCCTGCTTTCAATCTCATTCCTTAACGAATGAGGAGTGGTGTTGAGCGGCAATGCAGATGATGATAAAGTGAGCGATGTTGTGTGACCAGGGGAATTAGTGACACATCCCCTCTTTATTAAGGAGCACGATTTATAACATCAGAAAAATATTTTCACGTGACCCGCGACATATCCAATGCTCCTTTTCTAACCCTCATCTCCGTGCAATAATTTTGTATTCAAATGAAAAACTGCCACATTGCGACAAGAAGTGGGAAACGCAGCTGAAAATTTATTACTCCACCTTTAAAATAGTGCAAACGCTTAGGGAGTAAAAAATAAGCAACTTCGCTCTTGCTTTAATTGGCAATTACTGGAATTGACTGAAATTGCTCCCTTATCGCCCGTAATCCTCTCACACTTGTCTCCGTTCCATACTATCACTATCAGACGGTAACATATGGCAACGAGTCGCTGTCATGGCTGCACAAGCGCATTGGCAGTACATAGCAGTGCATGGTCGTTTCTTCAGTTCAAGGTTTAAGTTGGGAAGTCTGGAAGCATTTCCACCAGCATCAGCACCCTGATTCTAGGTCGCATACTCATTTTAGATTGGAAAGTGGATCGCATCGAGGACTGACGGGATCAATTTTTATCTGCCATACCCATAGGCACTTTGGGAAAATGGGAGATATTGCGATCGGTCTATCACTTAAATTTTTTTTCATTCCCTCTGGCCGCAGTAGCCATAGCAACCGGACAACGCGACTCACTGCGCATGTGTATCTTTCCGCCTGAATCGGGGTGCCAGTCTATGACAAAAACATCCACTTCCACCCGTCGCGGATGACGGATCTATAGTCGACAATGGGAGTGAGGGGCTGCTCATGGTAGTGTAGACAGGGTTGCTAGGCGTAGGTGTGAAATGCCGCATCTGGCATTCAACACTTCATACCATCTCCAAGCGACGCGGACGGGCGAACCATCGAGATCATGTCTATAGCTGTCCAGGCCTCTCCCTATAGGCCTATGACGTACTAATGACAGTTGTTATGTATTTCAAGGTCAGATGGTTAGAATAAGGCGAAGAAGATAATTCCAGAGGTTTCAGGGCCATTGGAATGGAAGATCTGTACCTGGCTGGTACTCTCTAGTTTCCATGGCAACCGGAAGACTCGACTTATTGCGCATGTGCAACCTTCAATCTGGGTCGGGGTGCCAGTAACGGCTGGAATTTCCATTCCCCTACTGGGCTGTATCATGCTAAGGCCAGGATTTTCTTTCCTAGGGACAACTTAGTGCATGTATGTAAGTAAGTAGGACTAAGTAAGGCAGTAGGTAGGCCAATAGAACCTTATGGCAAGTAAAAAACATGAACTGCAAACATTCGCGTAATTAGCCGCAGCCGACAGGACTTCCGAAAAACCGAGATGAGAGATTTTTTTAGGAAAGAAAAAAGGTTCAACGAGTCTACACTTTTTTCAGATAGACCACATTTCCTATCGGCCTTTCAATTGTGCAATTTTCCGATGCGTTAATGAGAGTTGTCAAATTTCTGGCACTGGTTTTTTTTATTATTTCTCTCTGAGCGTTGGTCTCCTGCTTGTTACATTTTTTCTCTTACACTTCCAAATATTGGATTTTGAAATTTTGTTGATTCAAGCGGAAAGCGTTCGGCGTCCTATCGAAAGGTGATACTGGCAGGTGGCTTTGTATAGAACTAAAAAAAAAAGACTTCTCCCCGGCGGGGAATCGAACCCCGGTCTCCCGCGTGACAGGCGGGGATACTCACCACTATACTACCGAGGAACCCTGATTGTGTTTTTCACAGCTCCCGATCTTTATACCGAGAGGAAAATATGCTCCCATGTAAGGGGGGATAAGTTGTGAGAATAGGATTTTAGGCGTCCCTCTTTAGCAAGCTAGAGGAATTCCTCGAATTTTCAATCATTTCCGCCAACGTCGATTGGAACCTCACAGGCACAATGTTCCTACCCTTGCGGAGCACGGATCCATAGTAGAGAAGTATTGGGGAGAGCGTCTGCTCGTGGGAGTGCAGATCGAGATGCCGGACGTATTCGTAAAATGCCACATCTGGCATCCTGAGCTTCGTAATCCTGCGCTTCCTCCATCTCGGGAGGAGAGTATGATGCGGCTCGGACTCGCGAACCATCCAGAACATTGTCCAGTCTTCCGGGACTATTCACATAGGCCTATGACGTACCATTGACAGCTTCTTGTTTTCGAAGTTGAATTTAGGGTGCAGAGAAGGAAAGTAATTCCAGTCTTATGGGGGGCAGTGGAATGATAGATCGTTACCTGGGCTGGTACAGGATCACTCTATAGGGTATGGCAAAAAAAAGGGTAACTGAAATTAATTTTTTTTCTCTTTCTTTCAGAAAGGAAAAACTAAGTTATAACTGCCATGCCCTAACATTCAGTGGATGGACATGTACATGTAGTGGGACTCCCACTACATGTGGGACCCTATTTTCGCTGCTGCGGAGCTGACCGACCATCGATATGTGTCCTAAATACTGAATTGTGCTTTAGTTACATTTTTTGGCACACCCTGTAGTTCGTACTGTGTCCAATCATCAATGATGGTTCGGGTTTAATTTATTGTGCAAGAAACGGCATCTTTTCCTCCCTTTCGAAACTACCAAAGTGAATGGATGGGAACACTCTTCCCTGCAAGAAGATGGCTTAGACTTAACAAAATGCGCTTCATTGGCTCAATGTTAGCCTAAGTTTAGGCCTGTTTCTACTCAGCAGAGGAAAACAGCATACAGTTTAACTCCGTAATCTTTTCAATGGTGTCTGTAGGCCAAGCACTGACCTTGGCCATTTCTCCCATACGATAGGCGCATGAACGTATAATGTCTCTAGCATCTCAGCTAATTCTTCCCCCCCCCCCCCCCCCATCTAAATCCCTTGTAACTTCATCGAAGACCCAAGTATCATCTAACCTTGGAAGATACCCATTCGACCCATTTGATAACTCCAGGGATTCCCTGCCTGGGTTTGGCCTTTCATCACTGGGATTCTTCAACGTCCGAGGTGGAAGTGCTACGTGGATTTCATTTCCTTAGCGCACCAGAGTTTGGACTTGGAAATGAACACCTCACTCACTCAATTTGAAACCCCGTCCCCCTGCAACGGTGACCAAGAGACCAATCAACCAAGCCACTCACATGCCCATGAAATGGACAGAATGTTTACCCTTTGGCTAAAGCAGAGTTTTGGGCAAGAGACATCCAATACACCTAATTACCGACGGTATACATTTCTTGGGGGAGGGGAGGGAAGGGGGGGGGGGGGGAGGCACGCCTGGATTATTCGATTCCTGGAGATGGCATGTGTGAATATAAAAATGAGAATCCTGAGAGATGGGAGAATAGGAAGAATCATTACTTGACTACACAGGCATTCTTATTTAAAAAATTTTCCTTTCTACTCTATAATGTATTTCTCCAATATTCTCATCAGCTGATGCAAGGCAAACTGTGCTTTAGGAACTCCCATTTTCATTATCCTGATGAATTGTAATGCGAACCCGACTGACTAAGAACCATCAACGTTCGATCGTGCCATCGTTTCACGAACGTTGTGTGACTACTGGCACCATTCCTTGAGATTATGGAGTGTGTATTGCATTGGTCTAATGCCTATCTTTGCTTTACCCACAGGTTAAGCTTCTATTAATAGATTCAAGGCTATCATGGCAAGCCATCCCCTTCCATCTTCAGAAAGCTTTCCCGAAAAAGAAGGGGAGAAGGAAAGTTCGCCCATAGAAGAATCGATGGAGGAAATGCTGAATAAAACTGAATGTCACTTCGCCTGGAGACCGGATCAGCACGGACGCATTCCCCCTGGATCCAATAATATCACCCGAATGGAAGAGAATAAAAACTCCCTTAAGCAAGATAACGATCCGTTTCTCCTGGCAATATCCGACCTCCTCTTGGCATATGAACACGGTCGACTTGATGATCCCAAAAAATCACTCGAGATCCTGCAAAGGATCCAGTCCGAGATTGCGAAGATGCATGGAGCAAAATCTGAGGAAAGAGAGACACTCCAATACCTCACAAGCTGTAACCTTGCCTATGTGCATCTTCTCATGGGGAAGCCCGACGCTGCAAGAGAGATCCTTGACCGAACCCAACGGTTTTCCGAGTCACAAGGAAAAATCAAGGCTCAAATTTTCTATGCGAAAGCTGCTGCATTCTCTGAGTTCTCGAAAGAATTGTATCCAGATGCCCTCGAGTTTTACAGGGAAGGATTGATGATGGATCCAGAAAACTACAACCTTCAATTGGGAATGGGAATCATGCTGGGGAGAATCCGTCGCAATGAATCTTCCGCCTGTATAACCACGGATGAAGAGAACGAAGAGATCAAGGCCTTAAGGAAAGCAGTTCAGATTAAGAGATGCCACAGAAGTTTGGTATTTCTTGCTGAGTCACTGAGGGAGCATGCACGGGCGCTTGAATCCGCGAAAGCCCCCAAAAGTGACGAAGACCTCATCACCAAACTTAACGAGGAGGCCCTGGAATTGTACATTGAGGTCTCCGAAGATCCATCTGCAAATGCCGAGAGCTTGGTGAGATGTGGAGAGGGCTTCATGAGACTTCCGGAGGAAATGAGGGACGCGCAAAAGGCTAAAGAGTGTTACCTGAAGGCGTATAAACTGTCCCCAAAGAAAAGTATGGTGAACCATAAGCTGGGAGTGTTCTACACGAAGGAAGACCCAACCCTGGCTAAGAAGCATTTGGAAGCTGCCATCGATATCTCTTATGGCGAGGGAAACTTTGCAGCACACATGACGTACGTGAACTTGATGTTGGACACTGAAAAGACCTTTGATCCAGCTGATGAGTGGAAAAAAATGCTCGAGAGATATCCAGAGCTCTTCTGCCAGATCGAACTTCACATACTGCAAATGCAGTATATTTCCCAACAAAAGCCAAAAATTGGATTTAGTCATGCTGAAAATGCACTTGAAACCTTACTACAAATGAAAAAACCTCGCAAGGTCTGTTTCTTTTTCGTTTGGGGTTGTGCACCAGACGGGTCAGAATAGCCACTCTCTCGGAACTGGGCGTAGAAGCGTCGGTTTCTTGGTTTTCTTCATTGATTCACTTACGATATGGATAAGAACGACCGGTATAGGACGGGCGTCTCTTCAAATGCGCTCGGCCACAGCAGTATCGTCGCAGAAATTAGAAATCCGTTTCTTTCTGCTAACGGAGGTCGACTACAACCAAGGAGATCGATGCCTTCATTAAAAAAAAGACGCTTGCATCGCTGGAGAGATCCGGTTGGACGAGGTTCTTTCGAGACCGCCGGAATGCACAGGGCAAGCGAGTCAAGCCCCCGCAACAGCGGGCACTGCTCCGCGGCATGATGAATGCACCCCGGTGTCTCGCACGAGTAGTTCTCGTGTTTGCCGACTTTGACCACTGCAAGGGAGTCGGCAATCGATGGGTCTAGCAACCGAGTCACCCTCACAGACGTGATGCCGATCGGTCGGCAGTACCTTCGGCTAAGACACACGATCCGTTTAGGCATGATCGAGCCACAGTACGTAGAATGAGTGTAAAACGGCTGAGGAAAATAATGGCTATTCCGATCCGTCGAATGCAAATTTGTTCGTCACGGTAATTTGCGAATTTCGCCACGGTAGCGAGTCATCGCTGACGTACGTCTGAAGTTTTGGACGTGGCTGATTGCAAAAAAAAATTCTATAAAAGCCACACCCCGTCCATTTCTATCGCCTTCGCTAATTCCTGGCTTCGTTTAACATCCCACAGATATTTGGATCCTCCTATAATTTGTCAAAGAAAGGCGTACGCGTGAAGACGAAGCACCCACCCAAGAAGTTTGCCCACGAACACTTGCTGGACGGCTTGAAGTCGCTGAAAAAAGGTCTCCCGCAGAAACAGGACCAGATCGACACCATGATCGAAAAGGTGACGACGTGGGAGAACGCGCATCTTGCGACGCCGGAAATCGCCAGCCACGCCTAAGCGAAAATTCGCAAAAACTATTGCAAATCAAATCTGCAAGTTTCAGGTTCGTGCAACTCTTCATTTTGGGGAAATCGGCACGGCCGAAAGGGGTGATTACGGGCTCAGCTTTTCAAATCGGCCTGTTCTTGTACTTGCAAAGGCGGTTATCGTTTCTTTCAGTCCCTTCTGGCTTCTCGTTGCAGCGATTCAAGTCAATGGGGTTGGATTTTCGGCTGCGATCTTGAATGACGCTTTCTTCAGTCACTGATTCGTCCCTTTCATCACGTGATTCATTAAATATATAATCCATATATAATCCGGAGCAGCCCTACTCACGTTATGTACTCGACTCTGATTATCTGGTGATATTAGCCATGCCCTACACATAAATAGAATGAGCATCTCCACAGCATGCCTGTCTGTTGTCCCTGGAACACGAAAAAAACACGGAAGAGACCCGACGGTTGATTAATAGGTCCAGCATGAACGGGAGCCTCGCGAGGAACGTGGAATTCCTTTGTCGATGCGCGACGGGGTCCAAGTTTCATTCACTGGATAAGTAAATGGGTGGCCAGGAAAATTTTGAAGGGGGGAACTGGTTTGCCAGCGATTCAATACATTTTCAAGTAGTTTCTCGGGACCATACCTTGAAAATCGTGGACTTCATGGATTAAAACAGTCAACTTCCCGACCGCACAAGAGTAGATTTACTCCGAAAGATTGAAGTCTCTGAGTGCCGATCGAGGATAAGTCATTGAGTGGGGGGGGGGAAGGGAATTTGGGTTCATCGTCTTAGAGGAACTCAAAATCTGGCTGAGTGTGACAAGGTTATTATCGTATTATATCATCATTATATTTTATTATAAGGCATTGTCCGGAGTTCAGATTTTCCACTTCGACTCTGCTCAGCAAACAAGGCTAGGTTGGATCAACGTTGTATCAACGTTCCGAACATTTATCCAATGTTGATTCAACGTTGATACAATGTCATGCGTTTCAAATTGTTTGCTGGGTGTATGGCACTGATGAGGGTCCCTCTTTAAAGCGTTTTGCCTATTTTTGGAGGCCCGAAAACTAAGAGAATAAAATGATGCCGGAGAAGATTCAGAAACGGAAAACTGACGCGATGAGGAAAGTACGGGGAAAAGTCATTTCGACACGCAGGGATTTTTTTTTTTTGCTGGTTGACGCAAGGGGATCTGGTCGAGGCGTTGAACATTTGCTTTGATAGCATGGAGCGTGATGTGTTTATGACTTCGTGGTGGCAACGGAAGGAGAAGAAATTAGTTCATACCTCTTAGCAACTTAAGATTCTAGCCTCAAGTTGGAGAAAAACTTGTCTATTTGTAGGATTGTGAAAGGATAAAACGCGTTGAGTGAAGATTCCATGGATAGCTGCAAGAGGTTGAACCCTTTAATGAACAAAATGAAAGAAAAGAGGGAGGAATGTTACCTGGAATAACTCTGGAGTTCCCACGAGGAACATTTTATCTCTTATCTGCCGGCTTATCTTGGATGGGATGGAGTGGACCAAGCACTCAACGGGGACTCCCTTTGGTGAAAGTGGGGAGAAACGCATCTCGACCCGAAACTTGATTGAACGTTGAAGGTTAGAGATCGGCTGGCGGGGAAACACTGCGATCGCGAAGCGGACTGACACTGATGGATTGTGTGTTCATGAGCTGGTGGCTCAAAACTCACCCCGACCTGACGAATCTGTTCCGTCTTGTCCAGCAGTGCAAGATCGCTCGTGCTCGTCCTTCCTTTCCTTGTTGGTGGCCGCCAAGCGCCGCCGTGAGTTGAGATCACGTGATCGATCAGGGTTGGCACCTATTACGAATTCCAACGAATGGCAAAACTATCGAGTGCAAGAGTACTCGTTAATCTCATCGACGTTGCAATAACTGCACAAACGAGACGTCGACTCGATCGTTCAGCTCCCTTTCTACCGCGGAACGAAAGGTGAAGTGGATCATTTGGATCATTCGGAAATGACGAAGGGGAGCTCGCCCCGGAGTTTCGCGGCTGCGATTTTCAGGCGAAATCGGAGAAGCACGATGTCGGCAGGCGTGAGAGCCTCGTCTCTCTCGAACCGTCCCGATGGAATATTATAAGATGGTGTTCCCAAGCGATGCACCCTTGCTGGTGGCGATGGTGGGGTCGGTGGCAGGCCTGTGGCGGCGATTTTCGGATCTTGCCGGGTTCACTTTCGGTGGACTGTGGGGTCCCTCGCCTCGACACGTGAAATCATTCAGCCTAGCATTAGGGTCCCATGAAAAAAAAAAAGAAAATGGGCTCAATGACGAGTATCGCCAGGTGAGGAGGGATGAGAAGACGCTTTGCTTCGTAGCAGTCACGAATGACGCGATATAAGTGTGAAATCAGTGTAAAGGGTCTGAAGAATATAAACCGGTTTGTATCCAATTATTATTGCTGGCAGTCGCTTTGAAAAAATTTGCACGCGATTTCATGTCACGAATGCAAAACGAAGAGGGACAACAAAAAATTATTAGGACATGAACGCATCTTGTACATCAGTGTAATAAAATATATAATAAAATATAAATGTAATAAAATAAATCAGAATAAATTATTTTAGTACTTGATTTCTAAATGAATACTAATGCAGTTTCCTCCAATTTAAAGTATTACTTTAAAAGTAAAGCTAATGCCAAACCCAACCAGCAATTATAAATAAAATTATTTGAATATCATCTTGGACGTTACGTGTAATCATAGGTGCAAAATTCTTTAAGTTACCAAAGGAAAAACAATTTGGGAATCAGAGAGCGATGCAATCATTTTGGGCACCGGTTTACTACCACGTCGCGCGCCTTGTTTCCAGGTGTTTCTTTATCTGGATGAATTCGGGCAGACGCGAAGCCGTCTCGATCAATGGGGATTGGGAGTTCCTTTCCCAAACGGTTCAGATCATGAATTTGGCATTTATATATATGGCATTTATTTATATGTTTATGTATGACCCCGAGGCTGGCTGGAATGCCGGCTATCTGAATAGCAATGCATCACTTTTTTAAAATCACCTTCAGACTTCATCAAACGTTTTAACGCAGCTCACGTATGTTAACAAGCACTTGGTTCTAAATACATTTCATGCAAAGAAACCGACCATATTGGCAGAAATTGGTGCAAAACGTGAGAAACTCTCAACGCGGCGAAGAAGAAACCAACACGCATCCTCGCCTCGCGTTTTTCGCGAATGAAAGCATACGCTCCATCGGGTCTTTTCCCACTGTGCCACTTGTGGTGCCAAGAGACTTCCGTGTGGATTGGGCTCTGGCCCGGTTCCCTTTATCTTGACGTCTCGATTCTTTCATGGCTTTATTTATTCATGGCCCAGTCTCATTGTCGCCTCGTGAACTACGAATTTGGATCCATGTGCTCCCCCTTTTTCTAATTTTTTTTTTTTTGGTGCAATGTGACCTGGGAAAAATCGATGCCATCGACCATCGAAGATGAGTCGAATGCTACAATGGACTGTTTTACCTGTTACAAGCCTAATTGTAACAGCAACATTTGCATTCAGAAATTCTGATGTTGACCTTTCCTTTATTTGCAGGTTGTGTTTATATTGGCAATCGCTTACATTATCAACCCTTAAATGGGGAGTCATCCCCTTCAATCCAGCAGTGGAGAGCAGTGTCGGAGGAGGATGCCATAAGATGGACAATATCGAGAAGAGTGTGAAGGAGATGCTGGAGGAGAGTGAGTGCCACTTTGCGTGGAGACCGGATGCGCATGGACGCATTCCTGCGGGTTGCAGTTATGTCGTCAAAATTAAAGAGAAGAAAGTGTTATATGGACAGGATAATGAGCCGTTTCTCATGGCAACTTATGGCCTCCTCTTAGCTTACGAACACGGTCGACAGGGCGACCTCATCGAAGCACGCGATATTCTGACGAAGATCCAGTCAGACGCCGCGAAGATGGACGGTGCCACGCCTGAAGAGAGAGAGGCGCTGCAATATCTCACGAGCTGCAATCTTGCCCATGTGCATTTTCTCATGGGGGATTCTCACGCGGCAAGAGAGACGCTTCGTGGCACCCCAGAATATCTTGACTTACGAGAAAAAGTGAAGGCTCAAATTCTCTGCGCAAAAGCAGCTGCCTTCTCACAGTTCTCGAAAGAATCATTTCCATACGCCCTAGAATTGTACCGAGAAGGAGTCGAGATGGACCCCGAAAACTACAATCTCCACCTGGGGATAGGAGTGACGCTGCGAAGAATCCGTCGCATCGAGACCATCGACGAAATACCCTCAGACGAAGAGGAAACGGCGCTGAGAACGGCGCTCCGGATGAAGAGATGCCAAAGCAGCCTGATATTCCTCGCCGAATCGCTGCGCGAGCACGCCCTCGCCCTCGCAACCCGCCAACCCGACGACCGCCTCGCCGCCGAACTCAACGAGGAGGCCCTGGCCCTCTACACGGAGGTCTCCGCGGACCCGTCCGCCGACGGCAAGAGCCTCGTGCGATGCGGCGACGGCTTCCTCAAGCTCCCGCCTCGTATGCAGGACCTGCACAAGGCCGAAGAGTGCTACCTCAAGGCGCACGACCTCTTCCCTAACGACAACATGGTGAATCATAAACTCGGCGTTTTCTACTCGCGCCGGAACCGTCCCTTGGCAGAGAAGTTTTTGTCTGCCGCCATCAATCCCTCCCGCGGCAAAGGAAACTTCGCCGCCCATACGACGTACGTCAGCTTGAAGTTGGACCATGACCCAACGTTCGATGTTGCTACCGAGTGGCAAATCATGCTCGAGAGATATCCAGAACTAATTGATCAGATCCTCCTTCACTTATTGCAAATGCAATACTTTTCCCAGTTCGACCCAGGAACTGGACTTCATCACGCTAAAGAGGCCCTTGACACCCTGCTTCAGATGAAGAAGCCTATTCAGGTCTGTTTCCTCTCAGTTTGTCACATGCTTTCCTTTGCTTGGATGGAAAATTTGCGGCTGAGTTTTGAGGCGTTGAATAATGATGTGAAGTGTTCC